ATCAGCCACAAAGAGGCCACAGGGACTTTGGGAAGACCAATTTTAAAGAAATGAAAGGAATGAAAGCTAATCCTGGCGTGTTCTGTACTGGATCCAGAGAGGGCTCCAGGAGGGGACCTTCACAACTTTCTGCACATCACCATGCTCCAGCAAACACGAGAATCTGATGAACTACTCATTACCATCTCTGCAGCTCACTGCAGAGCGAGTATGAAGCAGATAACAAGAATTCCTTCCTTTATTTCTATTTTTAAATATTCAGAGATGAGTGAGAGTCTCAGTGAGAGAGACTTGACAGTTTGACATTTCATCTGCTCCAGCACATGTGCTTCAAGGAGTAATTAGAGATCCATAATCATACCTCGATTTCTGGTCAAAGACGCCAGAACCAACAGATTTCCAGTAAAATCAAGAAGTACCTTTAGTACATTTTAAATGAGGTATCTTCAGGCAACAGTGAGAATTTTCATCTTGCTAAAATTTTCTTTCAGCCAACTTCAGCTGTCCTGCTAGCAATCTCTCAGTGTAATTAACACTGTCATTCTCATCAAATGGAGAAGAGTACCCAATACTGGGGATATCAGACACAAAATTGTCACAGCCTCTGATCAACCTGGAAAATGCTTTACAGAAGCCTCAGCAACAACCTGAAAAAGCCTCTGCAGTAGAAGGTCAAGAGAGATTAACAGGTCAGCAAGATGGGCAAGATGTAGAAATCTAAACCCATGATTGGGTCATATCACAGCTGTAACATGAACTCACCAGAAGAGAACTATCTGAGGCCAGCAGGAAGAGTGAGAGTAGATGGCCAACACGATATACACACACCATTTTCCTTTCTCAGCTTCATATTGAAAGCCTGAAGAAAATGGCTATGGATTAAATTCATAAAACATGAGCACCACACTGCAATACTTCTTCGCAGCACGTAACAAAGGAATTTTACAACACAGGCTGTGGCCAAGCCCTGTATTTTCATCAAGATATGGGTTGGTGTCACTGAACAACTAACCTCTCCAAAGTGCCTAAGAAATCATGAAAATGAAACTCGCTCTTTGGGTGACAAAATAAGAGGAGTGGGTGAAGTGGTTGGCATCTTAATAGATTGGGTCACAATCCATAGTTTATGCTGTTTCAGACAAATGAGGTACTGATACAGGTCTACCACACTTTTTGGATGACAGAAGAATCTGGATATTTCACCAGTAATAACAGTTTGTAGAGAGATACACATTGCAGTGTATTCAAGTAATCTGTCTATCCCTGAAACCGAATTTTACTTTAACAGAAATAATTCCTGACTTAAAGCTTAACAGTATATTTTTGCCTTTGTCATATTTTTCTTTCACAGTGTCTGGGCTTTCATTAACATCAACAGAATTTTGCAGGTAGAGTATGAATGTAAAAGTATACCTCGTTACATGAATGTAGGAGAAAACGGTTTCCTTACTATTTTATACAATTAAAGTATTGTTTTTGAACGCATTTTGGAAAGTAACCTACAGTAAACAAAGATTTATTGTAACATTAATAAACAATGAGACAATTACAGCCTCTTTACGGAGACCGTATTAGTCATGCGTGTCTAATGAAGCATTACTAAGCTATCACAGCAAGATAGCCTGATGTGTGTGATTAACAAAATAATACTCATAAATAGCTAATGAACAATGATGGGCCTTTAAAAAATTTGCATATCCTGCTATGTGGAGTTAAGGATTTTGTTGCTTTCGCAGTGCTGGAGATGTATTACAGTGCCTCGTGTCTGTGGTGCAAACTCACAGCAAATCCTCCTTGTAGCCTTCTTAAATAAAATCTTCCCAAATATTTTTCCATTTTCAACCTAACCTCCTTCACAGATAAATTTACTCAAAGGGCAGAATTCCTGATGGCTGGAAAAATGGTATGATTAAAATCAATACTTTTTGATGAATATTAGGTCTGGAACCTATTAGACCTATAAAGTGCAGGAGAAGAAAATCATGCTTATGATTTTCAGGAATAGCCCGACTACAGCCCTTCATCTGTAATGAATTATGGAGCAATTCTCCTAAGTCATTTGTATGAAGTCAGCTATGACATTGCCAATTTTTAAAAATTTGCTAGTTTTGAGCTACAAATTGATTTTTTATTGTGATAAATTAAAATCCAATAGTAGCACACAAGATAGCAAACATAGAGAAGCCTATATTTTTTCAGAATATTTTTCTCTTTTTCATATCTCGTCAGGCTGCCATTGTGGAAGACATGACACCAATAGCTAATGATAAAAGCTAGGAAAGGGCATCCTAGAGAGGTAGGCAGCCTTAAAAGAGCACTGTGAACCAAAACAGCATTCTGGGAATCCCAAAATTGCAGAAAAACACAGCTAAGGGGGGAAGCCTTGGCAGGGGGTTGGAGGGCAGTGAAAGGAGAAAGCAAATGCAAGATTACCCAGGCTGTTACATATTAAGGGCATATTTTATTCCCTGTTGCACAGATCTCAACATCGGATTCCAAACTTTACAAACTATTATGTGGCCAATCAGATCTATGAGCACAAACTGTGACTTTTTTGCAGTTCCCTTTCCCTTCCTTCCCAGAACAGCAAACATACACGCCCAGTTTCACCTGCTGGAGATTCTCCCTTTCACCTCCACACTGAGAATGGGATTATCACTACCTAATTGCACTGAACTTATTTTGTCTGGGGATGAAGCTGATGGTACGGTGACTGTGAGGAGCTGGCAAAGAAGTCCACGCAAGCCAGCTTTAAAAGCATGGAAATGAAAAGCACGACGCTCCCGCTTTCAAAGAGTCACGTTAAACCTGCTGGAGAAAGCACCCCACATCCCTTTGTCACAGTCCTATTTCAAAAGTGACAACCCAATAGTCCCGTACATCACTCCGGCAGCTCAGGGGCAGACATTTGGAAGGTGGATTTAAAGCTTTCCGTCTATGGCTCAGTGAGTGAGTGACAGCGCTGCTCTGAGGATGATATAGTTATGTCAGATTTAGAGTACAGGGTGTCAGAGTTATGAAATCTTCGAAGGAGACTTGTCATGTCCCCACCTCACTAGCTGCAGATGCGAGCGAGCAGGAATGCTGCAGGAGAGGCAATCTGGCTGAACGACAGCTTTATTTCTGAACGCATCCCTTTTCTCAGTGCCACTTTTATGAAAATAAATCCAACGTTTGTGAAACACTCAGAGATAAGTGCCACAGGACAGGTCTGCCTCTTTCTTCTTTTTTATGTTCCCAAGAGAAGACTAAAAGGAAAGTAACAGGCTGCCTTATTGCCCTTTGCATAGGGTGCGGTGAGGCACCAGTCTGCACACAAAAGAAAAAGAAAACAAAATAGTGGATATATTGTTGGTGGAGTGAAAACTTTGCTCCATGCACTGAATGAAGCTGGTGTTCTCTGACAAAAGGAAAAAAGAAGGCAGGCTATCATGCAGTTAAATACTATCGTAATGTCTACATGCTGGAGGACTCAACCATGACTGCTCTGCCAAGCCCCAATTCTGACACTTCCTATCCTCTATGCACAGGCTGTAATCTCAGCAATGTTCTCTTCAACACTGCTTTTATATGATTACTTTACACATGCAGTACACAGCACATTCCAAACGAGCTCTTCATTACTAACTGCTTGTATTATGTATCAGTGAGCTCAATGACATTGATTTTCTAATAATATAAATTAACTGGCAAAGATAATTTCATCTATCATCAGTAGGGTTTTATTTCTGGCATCATGTTAAATAGTTAATCTTTCAAAAGATTAAATCAAGAGCCTTTTAAAATTCAAGGCAGAGCTTAAACTGCTATAAAAATCTTCTTAATTAGGATTAAAACAGTTTGTGTGTTGTGCCTTTGTGTCTAAGTAGTATAATGTTTTGCTTAGATTTCTTCTTTCAAAGCAGTTAAAAATAACCAAACATGTTAATTCTGTGGCAAAAACTGCACCAGACAGTGTAGTCTGCATCTTGCTTGACCCAATGCTGCAGGAAAGTGGCTGCTTGGTAGCCTCAAAGTGCATCCCCAAAGTAAAATACACCGTAGACCTTGGATCCCATCCAATATACGTATTTTTCCTAACAATTATGTTTAAAATACACCAATTCTCACGTTTACTGCATATCTTACAAAAGAGCAATGTTGCTGCTGACAGAAACATCATAGAATCATAGATTTAATAGATCTCTTGCCTGGGTTACTGACACAACCGTAATCTGAACTATGGGACAGCTGTAGACTGCAGCAGCAGTGGCTCTTGGATTTTTGTGTACTGTTAGTCAAGGCACAATGGTAACTCACATGGCCTGTTGGACATAAAATAGATGAGGGAAAAGGTCCCCTCCTACTCAAATTATCCTGCAAACCCCAACAAAGTGTGTGCAGCTCCTGCTGCCCTTCCTCTTTGTCTTCTCTATTGGGAAAACAAGCTTCACTCACCTGGGTTTGCCCACAGCTCACCTCAGCTTCCCATGTCACATGTAGCCCACTCCAAGCCAACCTCAATCCTAAACCTTTATGAAAAGACCCTCAGAAGTCATTTGCCCTCTGCTGCTGAGCAGCCTAAAGCAGCACCTGGAGGAGCAGTGGGCTGGGCCCACGATGGATGAGGAAACCCCTATGGGTGACATTACCAGCCTGCAAACAGTATTTCCAAGAAGCAATTTTGGAAGCTGGCAAAAGGAAAACAAATCACTCCCTGCCACTTTCTGGCCTCCGAGCTGTGAGTGTTGATGCCCATAAGGAGCATTCATGTACTCAAGTAAATTGTTCTGCAGAAGTAGCCAGGACAAAGCTTTACAATAAACCACATCCCCATGCTACACTTTACAACTCAGTCATCTAATGGCTTGTTCTGATATATGATAACCCTTTATCAACCTTGTCAGAAGTTTTATGTGTGCCTACACTGGTGAGATATTACTGCACAGCGAGGAAATACTTTTAAAGGAACATCCATGAATAGATTCAATTTTGTGCCACTGTATGGCTGTTCTACTTACCCCTGTCTTTTCGTCGAAGATTTTGATTCCACCAAAGGAGACTGTTAAGAAGATTTTTTGTTTATGCTCTCCTTTCGAACGGGCCGCAGCAACAATTCCCTGTTGAAACAAAAAATATTTGGGCTGGTTTCATTATTCTCCTGGTCTTGTTTTCTGACAGGTGCCCACAGCAAAGCATATGTTGACAATTCATCACCTTTCCAAGAATACTTCAGGGCTCTCCAGGAACAGTACCCCTTTACTTTTGGTCTTCTCCCTTTTCTAAAGGCACCCATCCCTTTTATGCTACCCAGAGATCACTGCAAGCATGCTCCCACTTTCAATCCCTATATTAGCTAATCCTCTGTGGAATTTGTTTTCTTGAATGTTGAAGTTCATTTCTAGTGCACTTCTTCCTGCTCTAAGCCATTCCGTTTTCTCTTTTTCTTGCCTTTTTTTTTTTTTTTTTTTTAAGGGAACAACAACAAAACCCACAATGAACAATCAGTGGGGAAAAAATTCCCATGACTTAAACTCACTTCATGGGTACACACTTACCTGAAGTAAGCAAACTGAGTTTTTTACAGAAGCAGCAGCAAACTACACCTCGACTGTAAAAAAAAAAACCAACAACCTGGCAAACATGGTTAGTTTTGCTCATGATCTCTGGCTTTTCCTTTGAAAGTGAACTTGCTGATACACAATTCATACATGACACTTCCACAGCCTAACCATAAAAGAAAACCCATTTCCACCTATTCGGGAGCCCTGCTGCCTTAATCAGTAACAGTGTATAAGATGAAACATTAAGCAAATTAAACAGCAAATAAAAATGTTCCAAAATGTCTTCAAGCCTACTAGAGGTCATTGTTTCCCTTGCATAGACATGAATATAAAAGAGAACAACTGACTTGTCAACAGACATCCCAAAAATGATTCCTGACCTTAGAACTCCTGCTGTTACACACTAAGTTTCTGGTACTCCCAACTTGCTATGCTGCCTTACATACCAACATGATCTTCTAATGCTCCCTTCCCTGTTTCCATCATCTCAAAATACTGCTCAGAACCACCTCACCATTACACAAATGGGTCTCTGGCATCTTGGAGATGTGGAAATAATATTTCCACGGAGGAAAGAAATACAAAGGCTCGCCCAACAGAACAGTGCTAAGTCTCCCTGATTGCTACTAGCAACTATGGGATGTTGTGAAATATCCAGTAAGCCATCAGAAAGATAGAAATTGATAGAAAAGATAGTTAAGCCTGTAGTGCGTCTTTTTGAACCTCTTAATTTTTGATTTGTAAATTATTGACCACATCTCTCTTTTAGATTGTTGCAGTATAAGATGCGTGGCGCCCTTTGCTGCTTATTCACAAACAACCACCTACACTTGCCTGCTCCACAGGACTGGAACCCATTCTCTGTCCTCTCAGGGTCCAACATCATATTTTGTAACTCCTTAATCCCGCTGTTCCATATCTGAACCTTACAGCCCACACCATTATTCCACTCTTCCTGCCCACCCCAGCAGAAGGTAATGGTTAAAGGGAAGGCTGGAGTTCATTAACAATGTCATACGCAACAATCTCATGTATTATTATTCCTTATATTCTTTCACCTCTCCTTTTGCATAATAAAACCACTCAATTTGCAGCTGTGTTGTTTGCAATTTGTGGACAAATTGCAGCGGTGTCAATCATGAATAACTACTGAACTTTGAGACAATGTATTAAAATTAAACTGGGATAAGCAGTACCAGCCAGGAGTTCATGTAAAATTGACTGATTTCAATACATAATTAACCAGAGCGTGACTCAGTGTCACGAATGGAGAATGAGCAAAAGTTCAAGCTGAAATGCTCTCCCCATCCCTCCCAAACATTAAACACTGAAGGTTGCACTGCACCTTGAGCTTCATCATGGAGTCCTGGCATAACTTGTCTCCCCGTGCGGCTGAAACCTCATCGATCCCAATCAGCTTTGCTTTGTATCGGACACCGTCACCTTTAAACCTCTTTATTAAAGTGGCTTCGCTGCGATCCTGACCTGAAAAGACATAAGGGAAACAGTGACATTTGCAGGCAAATAAACGAATAAAAACTCCCAGTTAAGTAGTAAATCAGATCCAGCACCCACCTCAACGTGTGAACATTTGAATAAAATTAGAAGAAATGTACTAGTTCAATAAAACCTTTTGACCTTATTGCCTCACACGAATTCACAGTGGAATTGTTGCCATACAAAATCTCCTGCACAAAATTTGCACACAAATTAGGTTTACGGAAATAAGAGATAAGCCCGAATCAGACCTGACAAATCTGAACACTTCTGATCTTCCCGGGTTGTTTTAATCCCAATACACTTGAGAATTCTTCATTTTGCAGACAAAACTCTCACAGAAACATGCTGCTGTTCCCTCGCATTACAACTTATCTAACCATATCAGCAATAGTCAGGCTGTTATCATTTCAATAATAAAAATACAAACAATGTTATTTCCTTCAAGAATACTGCTGCTCTAAAACCCACACAATAAACACCAGCTCCTTGTTCTATTCTTTCTGTTGGTAGACACATACAAAGGGCCATCACTAGCAGCGCTGGCTCTCATACGCTCAAGCTGAGAAGCTGAAAAATGGCATGAGATGTTTCTTAATAAAAAAGCAATCACAGGTTAATAAAGCACAGCACTGATAGGGTCAGCGTACATAAACTACTGTGTGCAGACCAGATGAGTACACAACCACGGCACTACAGCGACGCATGAAAGGCATTTTGACTGTAGGAATATGAGCACTTGTCATGCTTTGGTTCCTCATCCCCAGCAAGTGTCTGCAGAGGGGTTTGTTTTGTGTAATCAGTCTTCCTAAACATGCTTAAAGATGCTTTTGTCTGCTGTCTTTGGATTTTTGTGCTAGAATCTGAAACAAAAAGCAGCAGCAAGCTGTAAATATTTGCAAGCAAGCAAGCAAGCAGCTAAAGCCAAATACCTGCAGCACAAACAAGCAAGCAGAACTGGGACATCCTAAAGAATTGGACATTTTTGGCTCCCAATGGATTCCAGCAAAATAACTGAACCATAGAATGGCCTGGGTTGAAAAGGACCACAATGATCATCTCGTTTCAACCCCTCTGCTATGTGCAGGGTCGCCAACCACCAGACCAGGCTGCCCAGAGCCACATCCAGCCTGGCCCTGAATGCCTCATGGGATTCAACGAGGCCAAATACTTGGTCCAAACACAGACCAATGTTGCATGAATTTATACTCCCATCCAGCCATAGAGCTCACCTTGTACTTCTAGGTATTGTAAAAGAGGAACAAGAAGCTAGTTTTAGACAACTGCATTTGAGAATTAGGGCCCTGAACATTCTTCAAACTCATTCCTAATTGGACAGATTGAAGCACAGAAAAAATACTACTCAAAGGAACAACAAAAAAAAATTAATAAAATCTGCTTTGGCACAAATAGTTTTTGATAAGTAGGACAAAATTAGAAAAAGCTCTTTTGTTTTGCATTTCTATTAAAAAAATCTTTGCCAGCAGGTCAAAAATCTTTGCTAGCTTTACACACACACCAAAGGGGATGAACAAACCTGGCTCAAAACTATGGAACTGAAATTTCTACCATCTCACCATGGGAAAATATAGGTAGCATACATGACTAAGATAGAATACTTCTAAATCAAGAGCTTCATTTGTCTCTCCTTCACCCAGCACACAGCACAGTCCATGCTGTGAACTAAGAAAGGGCTAAATGTTTGTTAAACATGCTATTTCAAGCATGTTGAGGTCTTGGAGTGTGTTTGAGCACACAAATACCATTTCATTCAATGACAAGGATCTGCCCAGAGCAATGTCCTGATGCCTTATTTATAATTCCTAAAAATAAGGTAGCTGAGAAGGGATGCTGTGCTAGTTCAAGGGCCACCCAACTGTCTCCTTTGATTTATTCTCGCTCCTGCTCCCTCAGAAGGAAATAAACAGCAGGTTGAAACTTCATGCTCTCACATGGTATTTAAAGAATAGCTAACCAAATGAAATAAAGAAACAAAATGCCACAAATGAGGCACAAATGATAAATCTGAAACTTGAAGTAATGTTAACAGCTCGCCTCAGGGGAACACCAAGGCAGATGTTGGCACTGCCAGCCAGAATTGATGAAAAAACCCTTTCCTCTTTCAGCCCCCAATGTTGGGCAGGAGGGAGAACATCTGGAGACACGACAAACTACAAGGATCACAGTGGACTTTTCCCGTATGCCTCCTACACTTGCAAAGATATCCTGTTGATTTGCAGTAAATAAAATTCAATTCCAGCAGCTTTCTTGCCAACAATTTTCAGCCTTACGTCTTCATTATAGCAGAAGGCAGCTGTTAGCTAATAGTAATATCACTGTGACTCCGTGCACGTAAGCACTGCAGAGTGCTTCCTGAGTCATGATAACGAGCGTGCATTCACCCACTTATTTGAACATTTATACTTATTCCAACCTATGATCTATTTTTCAGAATGAAAGTAAATCTATGACATTAATAGCCCATTCAAACACAACGTATGGCTGTGTTTGCCTACGCACAAGCCTCATGTTAATTATGACCCAGATTAAGTAGGATGGAGTGGTTTGGGGGATAAACGACTGGAAAAATCATCAACCTGAAAACGATGTCGATATTTTAAACTGTGGTGGAAACTGCAAATTACTAGAGACTACAAATTCAGCCATAAAAACCCTTGAGCATATGTCCCATGTAAAGCCTGGAGATGCACATACGCACTGCCCTCTGCTACGAACTAGCCATCTGCAACTTGTCTCTCTCCTCGCTGTATGGCCACATCTCCTCCATCCACGTTCACACTGGCTTTCCAAATCCTTGAGCTGCAGTTTGCACCGGAAAGCTTTCCACCATTCATTACTAGACAACAGTTTAGAGCAAAATTAGAACACGTGTTTAATGACAGGTACTTATTTTTATAAACATGTATTTCCTTAGGTTTCCATTTTAGGGTGCTTTTTTTGACTATGCAAACCCCCATACTCATTGAAGCCACAGTAGGTGAGAAGTTCATGTGCATCTCAGTTGCCCACCATCCCCTGTACAGGAAGGGATCTTCATCAGATGACCCAACACCATTAGCCCATTCTAAAATGGATTACATTTCATTACCTTCAAGACCAATGGTTACTGCCCAATGATTTGCTCTCGAACTCCTTCACAAATTACTTTCATGAACCAAACATCCCAGGCACTTGTTTGCAATCAAACACAAACATCTCACCATCCAGAAGGAAACCAGAACTGATGCTCAGGTCCCGCACTGAGAAATGAATGCAAAAGCAAAACGAACACTAACAACAATGTCACACAAACTCAATTTAGAAAGGTAATGACTTTTAATTAGTAAGCATGCCACTGTTGACATAGGCAAATAAACGTTTTGTTTGCAGCATATGGATTTGTGATCCTCAGAGGCACTTTAAATGTAAATGTCTGGGAGATTATTGTATCTACTCCTCTATATGCCACTGCTCCCCTTGAAGCCACATGCATTCCAGCCGCAGCCACCCCCTGCTAAGCAGCAAACATGGCCTTTGCTGCAGGGTTGCAGCTTTGCACTTGGATTTGTGCAATCCTAAGAGCACCACAAATCCCCAGAGTGCTGTGATGCAACGTGGTCCTGTGTTGGCAGCTGAAGCAGGGAGGTTTCCTATTGCAGCAGGTTTAGGGTACTTTATCGATCTCAATAAATCTAAAAGTAATAAACGAGGTTTTAAATATATTCAATCATTTTCATCCAAGGCAATATGCCTTAAGATGCCTTCACCAAACTACAGACAGACTTGAACCCCAAATCCAAAGTACTCAACCTAAGTGCCTCAAGTACACTCAACCCCAAGATGTGACTATAAACTAGTTCTCAAAGCCCACTTATGTAGTCCAAGAGGAAAATGAGGCAGAAAGTCCAGCTCTGAACAGCCTGGGCAGAGTGCTTGAAGATGACTCACCTTCACCTCAATACAAGTCCAGGACCAGACTGTAACAGCTCTCAGCCCCACGGAGCATTGAGCCAGCAGTGCAGTAATATGCCAACATGTTGAGCAACCCAGGGGACTTGTAAGTAAGGGTATTTCACAAGCAGAAAAAAGAAAATAAACCAGGGCATCGCAGCAATAAGTGCACTGTTGCTTTTCCTGCATGCTCTTCTAACATACTACGTATTCCTCACAGCATCCAGCAATCTAAACCAATAGCCCTGGAAATGGCTATATCCTTTATTTAAATGTGTGAAGCCCTCAGGGTATAATCTGAATTTCTTGATTTTATGACCGTAAAATATATAATGATATTATCACCAAAGTCAATAACATGCTCCTGGCAATCAATTCGCTGAAGAACAACACACCGGTGTCTGTTATTTTTTCTCCTTTTCTAACTAATAAACTGTCAAAGTTGTATTCATCACACATTCAAATTACAAACCTGAAATAACACCGCCTTAGAACTCACAGGGCTGCAAAACAATCACGCCTGTGCTTATAAACAGCCTACATCTTCACAGGGACAATTAGCATTTTTATAGCACCGGTGCAGAGGAGAACACAAAACACTGCAGCGCAGAGTGACCTCCAAGACATGGCACAGGCTGGAGAGCCGTGAATTAATTGCTTAGTGAGAGATGTTTCCCATTAGCTGTGCCCCTATTTCCACGTATGTATTTATCCACACTTCTTTGTATTTGCACATATGCATACGCACACTGCACGCAGCTTCATTTGGTAGCAATTACCTAAGAAAATTCATGGTAATTTTAATCAACTACAGATTTCCCCAGGAAGAGAAAAAAAAAAAAGCGCATAAGTAGGTGTTAAAGAGAAAATATTCACACATAATTATATGTACCTTTCAGTACAGCAGCCACTGAGAAGCAGTTCACAAAAGAGCCATGAGCAGCTCAGACAGGCCCCTCTCCTTGATGGCACATTATTCTCAATGGTTGCACAGAACCACAGTTCCAATGCACAGCACCCAAAAAGAAACTGGGACT